GGTCCATGTGATAGATGCATTGCTCATTGCCATGGCCATGTTAGTAACTGTTCTTTTTTTTTTTTTTTTTTTTAAGATTTTAATTATTTATTTGAGAGAGAGAGCACAAGCAGGGGGAAGAGGGAGAAGCAGGCTCCCCGATGAACAGGGAGCCTGATGTGGGGTTCAATCCCAGAACCCTGGGATCATGACCTGAGCTGAAGGCAGAAGCTTAACCAACTGAGCCACCCAGGTGCCTCAGCATCTATTCTTGAGCCTGGTTCCCATTAGGCTGCCCCTGAGAAATGGGCCTGCTCTTTGTTGTGACCTGGTGAGGTTTCTGAGCCTGTAAGGCTAAGGATGTCAGGACTCGAAGCAATTTAAATTGAATTTAAATTTTAAAAAGTGTCTATAAAAAAAGAAAGAAAAAATACAAATGTAATTTGAAATAGAAAAATAATTAATTAAAAAAGGAATGAAGTACTGATAACATGCTACAATGTGGATGAACCTCAAAATAATTATGCTAAGAATTCACCAACATGACACAAATCCCCTAAGAAGTCTTCTCCAGGAACATAGAGCTCCGTACCTGCTTTTCCCCTTGTAACTGCAACAGTTCCATCTCAAGGGGGTTGTATAGAGTAAGCAAGATGATGTGGACAATGGGCCTGGCTCTGAGCTGGTGCTTAGAAGCTCTGAGCTGGTACTAATTCATGTCTTTCTTCCTTGTAGATTCTCCTGCTTCCATTGGTCGGGGGAGGGTGGGTAGCTGATAAGTGGAGATGATGAGTCACATAGTTCACTAACAACCTCCAGCTAATTCTCCCACTTCATTAGCCAAGCCATCAGTCAATGTGACTAATTGTTACTTTTTGAGATAAATGTTTAAAATATCATCTCCTATGACAGGTTCTTTAATAGCTCAAGGACTTGTTGGGGTGGTAGGGAAAGATAGGATGCATGCACAGAACAACCAGAAAATAATGCTGGAAACTGTTTGTCTATGAAGGTTCCTTCCTCTAGGCCTGGGCTGGAATGTGCCAGTACAACCCGGTTGGTTGTTTATGGTCAGTGTGTGATCTGATCAGGTGGTGCTCACTTGGTACCACTTCCCCTCAAGGCCCAGTACAAAGGCTGACTCCTCCTTTCTTGGCTCTCCCCAGCACTGCATCTCTGCTAGTGCTCGTACCAGCCACCTTTATACCTTTGTGGGGAGAAGAGGCTCTCCTTCCCTGGACCTCTATGACTCAATGGTGTGCCTAGAAATGGTCCTGTTTAAAAGCCTGATGTGGGCTCCACCTGGGAGAAACAAAAGACCCTGCACTGCTTCCTTTTGTGAGCTAAGAGACCTTGAGTAAGCTTGGTTTCTTAGGTGGTGGGAGATGGGTGCCTTAGGCTATAGGTAACATAATTTTCACAGGCTTAGGTGAAGCTTTTAGGAACTTCCACAGGTGCCCCTGATAGTCTTGGGATTGAACTCGGACCTCTGGGTAGCCAAGTGACGGTCAACTCTAGTAGATAGGATTCTAGACGGACTGAGCCAAGAACACAGCCCTGGGGATGTCAGAGTTGTCTGGGGTCTCAACCAGGAATGCCCCTGATCCACACACACCTAGAATCACCATTTCTTTGACTTCTCTTTCCCTTGTCTACTCTTCCATCCACCTTCTGTCCAAATCCTTCCCTGATAATGTTTTGTCAGTCTGAGTCCTGGGGTCGCCATGGCTACACTGAGGGGAGGAGTTACCACCAAGGCTCATGCTCTAATTGGAGCTCAGTGGTGGTCACCTTTTGCTGGACACAGCCTCGCACCCCTGACAGGGCCACATGGACCCTCATAGTTCATGAGATCTGACATACCCCAGATGCAACAATGGACTTATCCTGCTATTGCTGTCACTGACCCTGGGTCTTTGGGATGCTTGCTAGCTTGTCAGCTGGCTGAAAAAATCACTCCAAGCTCCATCCTTAGACTTGCATCTAGGAATAAATACCCTTTTGAGAGGTGAAACTAGCAATTGATAAGCAACCAACCAACCAACACCACCCCCACCATCACTAAAAAAAGAACATGAAAAGAAAAAAGCAGATTCTAGCACTCAGTTCCTAATGTAATGCCCACACCTGTCATCTTTCACACTCCCACCCCCAACTGCTGCTTCAGATTCCTTTAGGGGCTCTGAGGTCTCAGTCATATATGTCCATGCTCCTGCACGAAAGGAGAGATCTGAATATAGTTCATAGGTCAAGAACAGAAATTCTGGGACCAGATGCTTATGTTCAAATTGAGGCTCAGCAGATTACTGGCTATTTAATCTTGGGCTAGTTATTAGTCTCTCTGTGCCTCAGTTTCCCCATATGTAGAATGAAGATGATTATATTACTAACTTCATAGGTTTGCTGTGAGGATCAAATGAGTTAATATATGCAAAGCACTTCAAATAGTGCCAGGAATATGGTAAGTGCTATGTAAGTGTTCGCTCTTACAAGGCCCTGGATGGTCACTGGGTTTCTGGCTGAGGCCAGCCACCCTGCTCTAGAGGGGATTCTACTTTGTCCTTTGGTTCTTGCCTATTCTTTGAGCAAGGGATCTGCCATTTGCAATAAAATGATATTTATTGCAAGGGGTTCTAGTAGCGGGTCATTGGTATTTACCCTCCAAAGCAAGTGTAGAATTAAAACATAGAATGTGACTCAAAGGAGTCTCAGTAGAGCAACTCAGCTGAAAGACAACAGAAGCCAGCTTATTTCTTGCAATAGCAGCTGAAGTCTTTGAACCCACCCCCGTGTATTCCTGACTCTCAACCTTGTCTCTGTCTCCTGGTTTCTAGATGTAGGCATGTGTCAAGCACATATGGGGTGCATGGGGCTCTTAGCAGCCCCAGACAGGTTGCAGCATTAACATCCACTTCTGACCCTCAACATAGAAACTGCACCACTGCCCAGCTGTGTCGGCTGCTCTGCCGCGTTAGATCTGAAGCCTCTGGAACTGTTGTCAATCTACCCAGAGTTCCTTTTTTTTTTTTTTTTTTTTAACTTATTTGTTTTATTTTGGAGAGGGAGAATGAGAGAGTGTGCGATCGGGGGGAGGGGCAGAGGGAGAGGGAGAAAATCTCAAGCAGACTCTCTGTTGAGCATGGAGCCTGGTGTGGCCCAATCCTACCACCAGGACCTGATCCGAAACCAAGAGTCAGATGCTCAACGGACTGAGCTGCCCCGGTGCCCCAGATCTACCCGGAGTTCTCTTCCCAGGACACTCAGGGATTTTTAAGCCAATTTTATGGTTTTAAAGAGAATGAAACATACATTCTGGTGAAATCTTCACTTACAAAAAGCCACCCCTTGACAGTATTATCAACAGTGTGTTAGAAGGGGGTCTCCAGGATGATCTGAAGCCCAAAGCAGTATATCTCCTCTTTGCCAGCTTAGCGTTCCTTTTTGGTGAATTATGTCTTTGTTTGCCCTTTCAATGCCTGATGAGAGTAATAATAATTAAGTGCATTAAGCACTTACTGAGAGCTTTCACATCCAATGGCACTTAATCCTCAAAACTAACATGGAGGTGGGTCCTATTATTATCCCCATTTATAGATTCATAAACTAAAGTTCAGAGAGGCAAAGTGACTTGCCCAAGATCACCTAGCTGGAAACTGGCAGAGCTGGACGTCAAAACTGGGTTTGTTTTTCTAACCCTCAGAGTCTGTACTTTTGCCTGCAGTGTGTGGTGCCTCCATGTGTGGTGAGTGGATGGAAAGCTCATGGATTTTGGTGTCAGAGAGGCCCGGCTCTGCCTTAGAAGCTGAGTAAACTTGGACAGAGCATTTAATCTCCTTAACAACATCAGCAGCAGCAACCTGGCGCATGCTTTACTATTTTAACTTGTTTAACTTGCAACAACCCTATGAGGTTAATACTAGTGTTTTGCCAGGGACAGGCACCTCAGTGTCCTGGGTGACAGGACCTCAGTGTGGTCTCGTGAAGATTAAATGAGATACTACGTGTCCAAATACTCAGCCTAGCAGAGAGTAAGGGCTAAATATTAGGAAGTGTGGGTGACTGCAGCTCTGAGAAAGACACACAGGCCAGTGCTTTTCTGCTAGTGTCCTGTTTGTGAGAAGAAAGGACGCTGAGCTGGATTAGAATCTATGTTCTCTTTGATTTTCACCACTAAACGTAACTGCTCTGTTTCATGAAGCTGCCAGTCCTGATACCTTTGAGCACAACCCAGGCACTCCATAAATGTCTGTTAAATGAATGAGCCCAGGGGACCTGCTCCAGCCACCTGTAGCTGATGTTGTCATCACGCATTCCAGAACAGCCATTTTCTCATAAACAGAGAAAGCTCATCCCTGAGAAAAGCATAGGGGCAAATAATGAGTCTCTGGTGCATTTGTGTGGTGCTTGGGGGGCACTCTGCTTTTTATTAGTAGAAAAGGGGCCACCTGCATGGTCCACCACCATCCCACTCCCAATAGGATGACCTATTTTTCTCCACACGATTCCTAGGATTTTGTTCCTGGGGGTAGGAGGCAGGATGGGGGCTGGGAGTTGGGGAAAAGGGCCATCACTGCATCAGCTGGGAAAGACACTCATATCCCAACCAGTGGGCTGCTGCGCCTCAGAGCACTGCCTGGACAGAGGCGTCCCTGAGCGCTCAGGAGGCCTGTCCTTCAGGCATCATGCTGTACCACGTATGTCCACTGTAGTTCCTTTAATGGCCCATTTCCATCCTCACAGGAAGATTCATTTTATTTTAATTTTATTTTATTTTATTATTTTATTTTATTTTATTTTTATTTGTTTATGTTTATTTATTTATACATACATACCTAACCTGAGCATCTCCTCTGGACCATAAACTCATTTCCTTTGGCCTCGTGCTCTGAGCAGAGAGGGGCCAGCTGGTCACCAATTTCTATATAATAACCCTTCAGATCTTCAAAGACTGTTATTAAATCTCTCCTTGGCTGCCTCCTGTCCAACTAAATAATTCCTGCCCTTTTCACCTTTCTCCACAGGTCCAGTTTTTCCACTCTGTGCGGCATTGTTCAGAGCCCCTCCATCCTCTCCAGCAGGAAATCAGGAAGACCAGGGGTCATAAGGGCTATGGCTAGCTGAGGGATGAGGGCGAAGGGCAACCGGTGTTGGGGGGTTGGGGGATGCCATTCTCTGTTGCCCCTGGGTCCCAGGGACACAGCCTCGGCTTCTCTCTTGGCTGCCACCACCCTAGAAAAATGTATTTTCCACCAGGGGACAGCCTTGGCACCCATCTTTTCTCCCCTTCCTCTCCCTTCCAGCTCTGCCCTTCCCCATGCTGACCGTGGCCATCTGGCACCCTCCACTGGGTTCAGATACACCAAAGAAGACAAGGAGAGAGCTGAAACAGGCAACAAGAGCAACAAATAACAAGGACAGCTGACATTGTTCACCAGCTGCCAGCTAACTGCGTGCTTTATCGCAGTTCCTCAGACAACCTGATTGTCCTCATTTCACGCAAGGAGATTCTAAAGCTCAGTGACAGAGCCTGTAAGGCACTTGTCTGAGACCACACGTAGGAGGTGGTATGGCCAGAATTGAAACCCAGGCAGTGGGGCTTCCGACACAGTGCTTTTAACACTGACCATCTCACTCTACTTATTTTGCAGAGAGCAAATCAAGGATGGGGGAAGAGCCCACAGTGGGATCATTAGGAGCAAGTTACTACTGTGGACAACTGGGGCCAAAGAAAGGGACTCCGAGGGAGCAGTTACAGAGGCAGGAGGGGAAGCAGAAGGGAGAGGTTCAAGAAGGAGGATAAGCAATGTCAAATGTGCAGAAAGGCCAAATACAAGTTTTCCATGTCTGTCTGCCATCCAGGCCCAAGGTGAGCTGCCTCCATTGAACCCATTTTCTGGACTCTGGAAGAGGCCCATTTGTGTCCCATCCTCTGAGCTGATGCTCCTCTCCACTAGGGCTCTCCCCAAGCTTCTCCAGCCCCAAGACTTCAAACTCCCCCCAAAGCCACCTCTTGGTTCCGCATGGGCTCCGAGAGGCCAGCCCTCGGTGGGAACACCCTGGGACGGTGTGGATCCTCCATCCTTTCCCTGTGCACAGACCTTTCCTGCTTTCCAGTTCCCAGGTCTGGTGTCAGACTTTGCTTCCAGCACATTCTTGCTTCCCAGTTTCACTTTCTTTCTTCCTTCCCTCTCTGCCATAACCTGAGTAGCAAAACAAAAAGTCCAAAAAACAAGAAAAAAACAAACCAAAAACCAAAAACCAAAACCAAAACCAACCCTGGGTGCCATAACCTGGGTTGCTCCTTTTCTGTTTTCCACCAGTTGGGGTATGGTTGGCTGAAAAGTGGCCCCCTACAAGGTATCTATGTCCTAATCCCTGGAACCTGTGAATGTTACCTTATATGGCAAAGATAGAGATGTGAGTGCGTTAAAGGATTTTGAGATGGGGAGATTATCCTGGATTATTGGGGTGGGCACTAAACGCAGTCACACATACCTTTATGAGAGAGGGGCAGAGAGATATTTGATACCATCTGGTGTCAAAGGCTGAGAAGAGAAGGTGATGTGAAAATGAAACAGTGAGATCGGAGGATGCTGACCTTGAAGACTGGAGCCAGGTGGCTACCGGCATCCACGAGAAGCTGGAAGAGGCAAGGAACAGATTCTCTCCTCGACTGTGGGGTAAGCCTGGCTCTGCCAACCCTTTGATTTTGGCCCAGTGATACTGATTTTTGAACTTCAAACCCCCAGAACCATAGGAGAATAAATTTCTGTGCTTTTAAGCCAGGCAGTGGGGCTTCAACTGTCCCCCAAGCACCACACAGGTTTATGATAGTTTGTTAGAGCAGCCACAAGAAAATGAATATATGGGTATCACCAATACACATTTGTAGGTCCAACCCAGCACCATTTAAAAATGCTTGGACTCCATATTTGCAGTTCAGTGCCTTAAGGGTGGGGTAGGAGTTGGGGTGTAGCTCAAAAATTCAAATTCATTATTTTAGGGAGGGGGTATTTTGCTACCATTCTTTCATACTCCTGAATCCCCTTCCAGAAGCTTCTCCTATGGGCATGAGAGGAACTTGTTGAGTTTGTTAATTTGCACTTTCTCAAGGGTGTTTGCATTTTAAAAAGAGGCCCCTCCTGCCCCATCTGCCCTCAAAGTGGTCTTTAATCTTTTTATTTGTTTATTTATTTTTTAAATTTTATTTTGCTATGTTAGTCACCATACAGTACATTATTAGTTTTTGATGTAGTGTTCCATGATTCGTTGTGTGCGTATAACACCCAGCGCTCCATGCAATACATGCCCTCCTTAATACCCATCACTGGGCTAACACATCCCGCCACCCCCTCCCCTCTAAAACCCTCAGTTTCTCGGAGTCCATAGTCTCTCGTGGTTTGTCTCACCCTCCAATTTCCCCTCATTCATTTTTCCCTTCCTTCTCCTAACGTCCTCCATGCTATTCCTTATGTTCCACAAATTAGTGAAACCATATGATAATTGACTTTCTCTGCTTGACTTATTTCACTTAGCATAATCTCCTCCAGTCCCATCCATGTTGATGCGAAAGTTGGGTATTCATCCTTTCTGATGGCTGAGTAATAGTCCATTGTATATGTGCAGTCTTTAATCTTGTGCGTTCCCTAGGCTCTGCAGGTCCCTGAGAACTGGCCACTTTGTTGACCCCCAAAATGCTAGAAAGGAAATAAAGATATGAATACTGAATAGTGGGGTGAGGGAGGGGATGAGGCCACTTAGATAAGGGGGGCAAGAAAGACTTTCTGAGAATGTCACTTTCATGCCCCAAATCTGGGTTATTCCAGGCAGAGAGCAGCATGAGCAAAGGTTCTGAAGCAGGAAAAAAGTCAGACATGTTCTAGAATGGAAAGGAGGCCAGCGTGGCTAAAGAGTAGAGCTAAGTTGATCATGCAGGGGTCTGTCAGTAACCCTGAGGAGTTTGGATTTTTCTTTAAGTAAAATGCAAAGCATGCTGTTGTCAGTGCAAAATCCCAGCCCCTTCCCAGTTTCTGACTTCCCAGTACAATCTTTTCCCATCACCATCACACAGATGAAGAAACAGACGCAGAAAAATTAAGTTGAGTAATTTGTTTAAAGTCATATAGCTAATAAGATCTGGATGAAAACATATTTCTAGATGACTCAGGACTCCAGGCTCTTAACCCCCACAAACCAGGGTCTCGAGTGGACTTCACTGTGACATACAGCTCAGCATGGCTGTAAGTAGAGACAGACCTCTTGGAGTGTAGTCTCCAGTGTCACAAACCTTAATTATGTCATTTAGCGAACTGATCACCCAAGATGTGATGAGGAAGTGTGGTTAATTCATCCTGGGGCTGGGCCCGTCAGGTCCATGGCTTTGACTTCTAATTGTCTGAAATGCCTTTCTAATCTAATGTAATCCAGAATGCTAATGATCCAGAAACTGCTGGCTGATGAGAGAGAGAGAGAGGGGGACAGAGGGGGCTCAGTCATGGGGGACTCTTTTTAGGACTTTGGAGGTCAGGGATCTGTTGGCTGACACATAGAGGAGGGAGACTGTAGTAAAATCGTCAGCCTTCTGGCATCTGGTTTTATGCCACCATGAATCCTTCAACACCTTGAAGTGGCCTGAAGCACATGAGGGGGTAGCTGTCCCTCCTCATCAGAAGTGGAGACAGAGAGCTGATCTTGTCACAAACCCCCACCCAGACCTTGTGATGGGTCAAATCGTTGGCCATGCATTGCCCCAGAAATGGCTGCCTCTTGCATCTGGAAAGTATCACAGAGCCTCAGAGAGCTGTACTCTTTGAGACACTGTTCTAGCTCATTCTGCCACCCCTTTTGGGCCAGCCTCAGTGGCAGAGTGAGAGCCCTAGTTCTGTCTGGTTGGCGCTGCCCCTCCCAACTGCCAAGGGCACCAACTCCACGGGGGCTGGGGTCTTCTGTCACTGGGAAAAGACTACAAATGCAGACCCAGACTGGGCCTTGAGGGTGATTGGTAACGGGAAGAGTGAAATGTGGCCTGGGCTTTGGTACATGATAATGAGCCTCTAAAAAAAGAAACTCAGTTACACCTTGGAATGGAATGCTTCCTTTATTCTCTTGAACTGAATACCTCGAACTTGGGAAGCTGCTGGCTTTCTGGCTGCCTGGTCTATTTCTTTCTTTTTTTTTTTTTTTTAAGATTTTTATTTATTTATTTGACAGAGAGAGACACAGCGAGAGAGGGAATACAAGCAGGGGAAGTGGGAGAGGGAGAAGCAGGCTTCCTGGCGAGCAGACTTCCTGACCCTGGGATCACGACCTGAGCCAAAGGCAGACGCTTAACGACTGAGCCACCCAGGCGCCCCTGCCTGGTCTATTTCTACTTCTCTTTCCTGGCCAATGTTGTTTGTGTGACATTCCAGAAATCTTGTCTAGGGTGGAAATCGCATGAAAAATGGACCACTGACCACTTGTAACTCAGAGTTCCTCATAGATCCACTCCTCAGGCACCATCAGGAAAATCTACGATGCCCTCAGTGACCCCGGATGCTTTCAGTTCTTCCAGCTTGGTTTATCGTTAAGAGTAACAATATTTACCATATTGACTCACGTGGCAGGTATTCAGTAAATTATTTTGGAAAAAAAAAAAGCAGGAACGATTAAAGTGAAAGCATGTAGTCTGATGCCAAGTAACTGATGGAGATAATTAGAAGAACCTGAATTTCATCAATTTCCTTATCTGTGAAAATGGGAATAACAGCACCTCAGAATAGGGTCACTGTAGGAATGCAGTGGGACAATCTGTTCAAAAGGCCCAGCAGAGCGCCTGTCATGTGCAGGGTATTCAAGATCTGTCCACTATTATCATCCTTACAGCCTTGGGGACTTCTATAGTGTGGTTAATTTGAAAACTGGAAGTGAGAAATGAACAGCCCCTGAGAAAGTACTCAGCTCTCCACACCACAGCAGGTCTGGGAGTGTCAGGTGTGGTATGTGGGGGAGAGGCGGGGGCAGGGGTAGGATGGGGAAGCAAAGGGAGGGACATCATAACTCACACAACATTCCTGGCTGCTAGTTACTTTGTAACACAATGGGAGTCTAGATAGGTCCAAATAAAGCTCTTTGTTGCAAGAAAGGAGGCAGCTAAAGGGTACAGGAGGCCTAGTGTGCCCTGCTCCAGGCCTGCTGTCCTTGGAATCCTAGGAGCATCTTTCAAGGGCCAAGTCTGATTTCCATCTGCTGAGACCGGGCTCAAGGCATTCGTGACAAATGGCTTTGTTCCTAGGCATAGCTGTTCTGCCTTAGAGAGCAAGGGAGCGGCTGCTTAAAGCTTTATCCCAGTATGAGATTGAGCAGATTTGCAAGACCTGGGCTCTGTGAGATGAGCATCATACTAAACCTGGAACCTATTTGATTTCAGTTGGGATCTCCCTGTCTCTTCAGCTCTGGAGGATATGAATGTGAATCCCCATTCCATGACTGATTTCTGTAATCCCGTGTGGCCTCATGTTTACTCAGATGTGTAACTCATCCCTTTTCTAAATTTACACACACATGAACTCACTGTGGAATTGTGCATCTAGCAGATCTCACTGACGATTTTGGATAAATAAGAAAAGGTATATAACTTAAAATTAGATACTAGCTGTTTCTGCCCCTAGAATGTTTCTTAGCCCTTTCCTCAGCGGGGAGTTCTGCTTCCCACCCCCTTCTCTCTCCTCTTCGCTTTCCCAGTGACTAGTCCCTCCTCTCCAATTCAGGTCCAGGCCACCCTTGTGTATCAGGAAGGAAGTGTCCTTGAACAGGATGTACCCTGAGGAGAAAGATGTGCTTCTAAATTGCCCCCCTCCCCAGTACATATTCAAAACCCGGAGGATTTCTAAACCTGTTGATTGAAGAAGGGCAAGAGAATGTGTTCTGTGTACCAGAAGACACTTCCTCCTAGGCTGAGCTAGACAAAATGGGTCCAAGCCAACTGTCCAGAGCCACAGGCCTCCCTGGAGAATGGACTGGCCAGGCTAGCCCCCTCTGGATGGACGGTGGTTTTGGAATTGGCCTCAGGCCTTCCCGGTCTGCACACAGGGCTATGTCTGTCATTAAGCGTGTCCTCTCACTGCCTCCGACGAATAAGCCTGGGTGACAGGTGGCAAAGTGCGATATCCTAAGCCGAAGGCTTCAGCCAGAGGCCAACACTCACGCTGACCAGACCCAGTTCTCCAGAGCAGGCCTGGCAGTGTCCCGCACATCGTACCATTGCTATTGCCTTCTCTTCCGTCCTGCAATGTTATGAGACAAAATAAAGCATATCTCAGTGGTTTCTGCGTCCTCCCAAAGAGCAGGGGTCACCCAGGTCTCTTTTTCTAGCATTTACTGAAGGCATACTCTGCAACGTGCTCTACATGGGTCGGTCCTCACAGTAATTCTGTGGGGACAGATCTCACCCTACAGAGGCAGATGCAGGCACAGGTTCACAGAGGGCTCCAGAGCCCGCCCACCTCATCCTTCATGGCGGATGTCCCATCCTTCCTGGGAGAGGAGGAAGGACACTTGACGTTTGCTGGGCACAAGCAGTGTCCCTGGTGCTTCCACACAAATGTCACCCTTTTAAATTCTTGTTGCGCTGCTTTGAGATATTATTAGCCCCACTTTCCTGATGAGGAAACCAAGTCTCAGAGTGAACCATCATTCTCCTCACTGCAGCTCTTCTCCCTGTTGTCACCCACAGGGCGGCAATTCTGGGTTAAGCTGACCTGGACTCAGCCCATGGTGTGTGGATGCCATTGGGAACCTCACCAAGCTCCCCATCCAGCTCTGCTGGCTCACTGTTTCCAGTGCTCCCCAGCTGCCAGCCTTCATAACCAGCCACTGCCTGGCTCAGCTCTGCCAAGGCCCCCCACCAGTAGAAGCCTGGCCTGGCACAGTGGAAACGCCCTCCTCATCAGAGGGTGACTTCTGGAGTTGGCCTGCTGTCCCATGCCCCGTGACCAGGTTGTCCAGAACGAGTGAGCTGAGCAGGAGCTGGTGGCAGCCTCCCTTCCGGACCCTTCTGCCTGCCTGGCTTTACACCAGGGCACTGGTTTGCAATCCAAGTTCTACCTTACTAGGGCTTCCTGGGCCTGGAGAATGGTCTTGACTGTCAGGCTTTGGACTGGGGCTTTGATCTGATTTGAAGCTATCTTGGTCAAGCTAGGTGCCCCCCTGTACAGTACCCCCTGCCCACTCCCATAATGCAATGCTTAAGTTCTATATTAGTCAGAGTTCTATAGAGAAACAGACCAATAGGACACACACACACACACACACATATGGAGGGGGTATTTATTTTAAGGCATTGGTTCACCGAATGGGGGCTGGCAAGTCTGAAATCTGCAGGGCAGTCCAGCGGGCCAGAGACTCAGGTAAGAGTTGCTCTTGCAGAGATGAGTCTGAATCTGGGACAGCAGCGGCTAGACACTCAGGCAGGGTTTCTCTGTTGCATTCTTGAAGAGAATTCCTTCCTCTTAGGGACATCTTAGTCTCTGCTCTTCAGGCCTTCAGCTGATTAAATGAAGTCTACCCACATTATGGAGGGTAGTCTACTTTGCTCAGAGTCAACTGATTTAAATGTTAATCACATCTAAAAAAATACCTTCACGGCAACATCTAGACTGGTGTTTGACCGAACGACTGGGCATGATAGCCTAGCCACGCTGCCACGAAAAGTTAACCATCACAAATCCCAATCTGTGAGCAGTAGGAGCAAGTCCAGAAGCCCAGTCCTTACCCCTCCAGAGCTCCTTGAAATGGATTTGGGGTGGCCGGGCACAGAACCTCCTATAATGGCCACACACACAGGCGTTACCATAAATAGCAGTAGAGCTCCCCCCAGGATTATACTCAGGGGAAGGTACTCAGCTGACCTGATCAGAGCCCTGTGGGTTAAAACTTGGGGAAAATTCCCAGGCACGAGGAGGTGGATTTTGCTGTGGCACAGCTGTGCAAGTAGAAGCAAAATGCTCCTGACCTGGCACCATGACATTTAGGAATTAAGCAATTGAGTCTCACCAGCAGAAAGGTCAACTACCCTGAAGGCGATGCCCAGAGCATGCCGGGGGCGGTGGAGTGCTCTGCTCTGGCTGCCACCTCAGGCAGCGATTCCTGGCATGGTGTTTGGCTACGGGGCCCTCTGGCTTTCCTCGGCCTAACCCCAAAGGGAAAGAGGGAGAGCTACTGGGTCCTGATGCCCTGGCTCCTGGGTCTAGCTGTAGCAAGGTGCCCTACCAGAAAGCTTTTTCTTTCTTTTCCATAAATGAAGCTGGCTGCAGCTCCCTGGACAGGCAGTGCTAAAGGTCACATTTCTTCATATAGGTGACCTGGGGAGCTGATCATCAGGAACAGTACTGCAACTGGCAAGGCCTGCCTCCCTCCCTTACAACTGTGAGGCCAGGGTAAGAGCACAAATGAAGGACCACATATCATATGCTGAAATATTTAAGAGTTATAAATCATGCTAATATTTAAGAGTTATAAATCATGCTAATATACTGTTAAATAAAATATGTTCTATCCTCCAACCTGCACAAATATACCCTCATAAGCACCTCGAAGACTGGACTGAAGTCAGAATCCTCAGCCTCCTCTGAGTACCGAGAAAATGGTATTGCAGAGAAAGCCAACATGGGACCCCCAGCCCCCAGAATGCCTCTCTCTCCCTTCCCATTCCTGGCTGTGACCCACACTGCAGGGGTCACTGCATGCACACACCAGGTGTCCCACGTTGCACATCTAAGCTCTGTCTGTAAGCCCTGCAAGCAGCTCAAGCCTGGGGATGTACACACTATTGGAGAGATCGATCTTTTGGAGAATGGGTCCAGGGAAGAGGCCTGCTCAAATCTGGGAGGCAGACTCAGGCTGCCTCGGCAAAGGATTTAATTCAGGATACCCAAAGTACGATCCAGGTGTAGGGTGTGGGCAAGCTGAGAGTGGCCTCATCCTCTAGACACTAGACTCTTTGCTTTAGGAAGAGGGGTGTGGCCAATGGAAGTTCAAAGCAGTGCTCCCTAAAGTGTGGGGGCCAGGGCAGGGACCCCTCTTGCCTAAGAGTGGTCCTGCACATTGGAATGGTCCCATTAGTGCTAGATCAGGATTAGCTTCTTGCTCTGGGTACTAGCTATTTTGTGATTTGATGTGCAATCTGTTTCCATGGTTATCACCTCCCTTTCATCATTCTCTTCTTTTCTCCTCTTCTCTCATCTTAGAGGTTTTCCCAGTGTGTTCTTTCTATCACAGATTAGGATGGTTTTTTGTTTTGTTTTGTTTTGTTTTGGTGGGTCAATCTTGCTAACCACTGCCATTTAGGGGGATTTAGGATTTTTTTGCTATTTTATTTTGGGTTGTGTTACGATTTTGAAAATTTCATCCAGTTCCCTGTGCCTCCCAGATTTTCTCTTAGCCCAGTTTCCACCTGTGGTTCTTTTGGCCTACCTTATAAAGGTCAGAGCTTCTTTCATGGTATTGAAACATCAAGCATGTTTCTAAAAGTTTCTTCTGTCTCTTGTGGTAAACAGTTTTTCGAAGACATAATTTTGTTTATTCCTCTGTCATGCTTCATTTTGTATATTTTGGTTGTTTGTTCATTTGTGAAAAGAAATAAGACTAGATTTTCTTTCGTTTTGAAAGTGCGGTGGAGACTGCCTGACTTCCTCCAGGGTCCTGGCATCTCCCCCTCCCATAGCCCGAGCTGCTGGGTGGTCCGAGGAGATGGTGTCTCTGCCAGCTCAGGTTCCCAGTGGTTGCTCAGGTTCCCAGTGGTTTTCCAGGTATCTGCCTTTGGGCAGAGGAGCCCACTCTTGTTCTGAGGCCCCTGTGCTCTGCCTAAGTGTGAGCCTGAGTCCAGTTCCCTTGTATCTGTGTGTAGTACATGGAGAACCCTAAGCTGCTGAATACTGAGCTTCTTGGGGTCTGTCTCTGTCCCCACTTATGGTTTGCTGAGATGCAGCACCTTCTACCCCCAGTGCTATTGTATTCTTGAAGTTTTCATTTCTGAACAGTTCTAGGAAATAGGGCCAGGGGAGGGGAAGAGAGCAAATAAACTAGCATGAATTTTGCTGCCTCAGAAAATAAATATTGAACAGTAAGGCTGGTAGTCCTCTTGCTTTGGTAGGTACTGGCATGCCCAAGCCAAGGGAAGGCAGTGGGCAATGAGGGGCATACAAGGTTTTTTTTACTGCCTTTCCCCTTGGTGTCTGCCTGGGGTTCAGAGGACAGCCTATTTAGTCATTAACTGCGTGTTTCAATCCACCCTTAACAGGAATGTACTAAGTGTTTGCTTTGTACATTAGCCCTTAAGTTAGAGAAATTTCCACCTTGATTCTGGCAATGATCTCCTCTTAACCTTAGTTTCTACCTTATTCAGGGATTATTTAGTTGCAGGTGACAGAACCATGCAAGCTAATTGAAGGAGAAGTAGAATTAATTGGAAGGATGTAAGAGCTTCTCAAAAACCCACGGATGGGAAATGAGGTTAATCCCATGAGGGACCGGGAAGCCAAAATGCTTTGATTTATAGTGTGGGATGTGATTAGCATGCCTTGGCCAAGTGTCGGAGTATATGTTCCCCATGCTGTAGCAGTAGGAAGATTAGAAATAGCTAACCCTTCCAAGGCCCACAAACACTCCCCCTTTATATATACAATGTTTATACTTTCAGCTCCAGGAACCTGTACATCCCATTGTGGTGTAGACTATGTGCAAGGACACTGGCCACTGAGTGAAAGCTGGTCTCACTGGGTCAGGTCTGAAGCCCAGTGGCTGTGGCAAGGTGCTAGGGCTCCATCTTGACCCAGTCACAGCACATTTTGAGAAGTTGTGAGCCCACTGCCCAGTGAAAGTGCTCCCTAGTAAATTGACCATGTCACCTACCCTTTCCCTCAATGTGTGGAGGCTGCACCTTGGGTGACCAAGTCAACACAGGTTCCAATGTCCCCCAGCCTGTATGTTGTTAGTAAAGAGCAGCGAAACCCTGCTTTGTGCTGTGGGAAATAATTCATAGAGCAGAAAGATCTTTGAGATTTATCCTTCCTCAAATCTCTACTGTAGAAGCTGCTGTGGAACTCTCTTCAACTGCTATGGAGTTTTAGTTGGGAAGATCCATGTTTTAAGACTATATGTTAGAGTATTCATAGAGTAGAAAGATCTTTGAGATTTATCCTCCCTCAAATCTCTACTATAGAAGCTGCTGTGGAACTCTCTTCAACTGCTATGGAGTTTTAGTTGGGAAGGCTCCGTGTTTTAAGCCTATATGTTAGAGTATTCAGTAATTGGCTTTTTCAGTAAAATTCATGATGCCAGAACAGGGCTTAAGGCAGTATCTGAAAGGCTGGGTGCAAACTGGCTTTAGTGTCTACTGACCCACAATTTCTGTTACACTTCTTTCTTTTTTTTCCCCCCAAAGATTTATTTCTTTACGAGAGAGAGAGAGAGAGAGAGAGAGAAAGCATGAGCAGGAGGGGCAGAGGAAAAGGAAGAGAGAATCCCAAGCAGACTCCATGCTGTGCATGGAGCCTGATGCGGGGCTCAATCTCACGACCCTGAGATCATGACCTGAGCTGACACCAAGAGTTGGACACTTAACTGACTGCACCGCCCAGGTGCCCCTGTTCCCTTTCTTAATAGGGTGCCAGGACTACCCCATAATTTCTACCTGTCTTCATTCTTATGCAACTTTTCTTGAGGGCTCTTGGGCCTATCACTGGTGCTGGGTTGTGATTAGGAACATATGTTTACCATTAAATCTTAGAGGGAAAGGGTTAAAGGTAAGGGTTTCTTCCCTCCCAGAACCTGTGTCCATTATGCAAAATTTCCCACTTTCTTCCCAGAGCTTAGAACACCATAAACAAGCAAATGGATCCCATTGTGTCTTTTCCCCATGGCCGGGACTGCCTGCCTTACATCTATATAAATAAGAGACGTCCTCAAGAACAGACCAGGGTGAACATGAACTCTTTCTTCTTTACCAAAGGCAAGGATTATTGAACTCAGATGGGGCATTCGAGGATAGCCTGAACCAGGAAGTCAATGTCCTCAGTACCAAAGGCAGTCCTCTTCCCTTGCCATCCCCTCTCCTCTCCCTGGCCACTCTTCTCTGCTTCTCTCTGTGGAAATGTTCCATTCCCCCATTTTTGCAGAGTGCCTTTCTCCATCCCACTTAAACATGATGCAAACATGGCTGACCTAGAGCCAGCTTTACACACCATCCCAGTTGAAGTGTTGTAGAGAGACCAACTAGAACTCCTGTGTTGCAATTTTAAAGTCTGGGAAGAAAGAATCACATTGGCCAGTTTGGATCAGGTGTTCATCAGGGGACCAATCAGCCCTTGTCAGGGTATGGGGCCACAAGTCCGCTGCCCAGTCATCAGAGGCTACTGGAAAGTCTCTCTGGTGACAACAGTGCAAGGAAATGGGAACATATCCACTACAGTTTCCAGCACTTTATTGTGTTTCTTCCTGGTATTTTAATGAAAGGAAGTAGAGGATTCAATAAGTGCTCTGTATTAACCTGATATGTGAGTCACTTGTGATAACCTGTGGCGTCCGGTCAACCCAGGTCTGTCATCTGACTCCATGGGAGAGAGACTGCCAAACTTTTGAGGATGTGGAGGTTTTATATCTAGAAATACACTGATCAAGCATTAATGTTTTCATGATACAGTGATGAATAATTCCAATATGTGATTATTCTTAATTTGTACTCAGTGTTTCAAAGGAGATAGGAAACAGCAAGAATGAAATGAAGTCCGAATTATGGGGTTGAGGATGCAGCGAATGAGGTTGTAATAAAATTCCATTTTTCCTCTTATTTCATAATTTATCTAGGTCACCATAAAACTAATGCAATATATTTTCTGCCATCCTGAGCCCCCCAGGCAGAGTTGTGTCCCTTCTTTCTGCATTCCCACAGTACTTTGTTCATATCTCAGTTTACCATTTATCACTCTGCATGGTAGTTATTTGCTGAGAGGTCTGTTTTCTCAGCTAGACCAGTCTTCTCTGTGGAAGAATCTGTATCATGTTCCCTGTGTACTCCTAGAATGAATGGGACTTGAACACAGTAAAGGCTCAATAAATATTTGTTGAATGAACCAGACCCAGGGTTTGATTAACTTAGGTAAGCCTTGGGTATCTGTGCAGCATCCAAGTTGAAGACTTCCCTGCCTTTCTGCTTCTCACTCTGTGGACTCGATCCATGGTTTGGGTCCTCTTGTGGTTTCCTGCCTCCTATCACATACTTTCTTTCTGATTAGGGGGCTTGCCCAAATCCCAGCCTACTTGGCTGGAGACTTGACCCTCTGCCTAGCCCTCTCAGCCCTCTTCCTGGGAGATCAGACCCTGAATTGTGTTCCTCTCAGCACTGCTTGGATCCAACCTGAACTGATAGATCTCTGACA